CGCCCCCATCAACGTTCAACCTATCCGATTCTCTCATCGTCAACCCCAACATAGGAGATTAACCACGAGGCTTAGTCACTCTCGTCCCCGTCGAGCGCCTCATCAACGTCACTGCCCTCGCCTTCCTTCGTCTCCAGCGCATCGTGCATCTCCTCACTGCTCCCTTCCTCGTCCTCGTCATCATCCTCTTCTTCCTCTTCCTCATCCGCCTCCTCGTCTTCCTCTTCTTCAGCCTCCTCCTCGGGCTCCGTCTCTGCGTCATCGGCCTCTTCGTCAACGGTCATGGCTGAGTCGTCTACACGGGCCTTCTTTGAGCGGGGGGCCGTGTCTGTGGATGCTGTAGTCATGACGCTGTCGTCGGGGTTGGAGAGGAGGGACGCATCTGCTGATGCGGTGCCTGCTGCCCCGGCTGCGGCACCGCCCTTCTTGGCGGCGACCTTGTTGCGGTAGTTTGTGCGCTTTGCGTTTTGGATTTGGGTGTATTCTGAGATCGAAGTTAGTGGTGGTTGCGCCTCTCATCGCTCAGTATAGATGAGTGAAAAAGAGTAGTGATCTTCAGATTGATGATTTGTTTCAAGGCCATCTTCGGTGGTGACAAGGGAAAAACAATAGGATAAACTCACTGGCAAATTCCTGCTCCAAGGGCTCTCGCAGGAAACCGAACTCGATGTCATCCAGAGCCTTGAAGACGTCTTCAGCGCTGACAGTCTTTTTGCCGGCATTTGTTGTGATTTCATTAGCACTGAGAATCACAACATGAGTTAGCTTCATTTATGCTGAACAAAGATGGACTCTGCTACTGAACACCATGGCTGCCGGTTTTGACAAAGAATCTTATAGGGATTCAAGAGAGGTTTTGACGCACTGAGAAGCCAGGTAGTTGATGAACACCGTCGCGCTCTTGCCCATGGCTAAGACGGCATTGGCCTGAATCTGAGTCTGAGGCGGAAGGACACCCTTTGCCAGCCTGGTGATGATGGACTTGGGCAAGCTGAGATCCTACGGATTACGTTATAAATTATTCAAGCCCAGCACATTGTCGCCAGCATCGCATGGATTTCCCCTCTTACCTCGATGGTGAGAGCATCCCTATCCGCCTTGGCCATCTTGTCATGCGTCTGACTCTCCTTCTTCTCCGTCGTCGCCGGCGTCGACTTTGCCGCGGCCGCGGCAGCAGCAGAGTCAGGCGTCGGCGCGGGCACACTGGAAGGCGTGGCTGAGGAGGGCTTGGCCGCCGATGCTGAAGACGGGGTGCCGGCGGCGGTGGCAGCGACAGAGGGTGCCGCCGCGGCCTTGGCCGGTGTGGTGGAGGCAGAGGGTTCCTCGTCCATGACGATGAAGCGGGCGTTGGACACGTCGCTTCTCCGGCTCGCGTCGCTTTTGCGCGGAGGCATGATTTGTGAGAGCGAGTGGGAAGGTCGAGAGTCGAGAACACTGAGTCGGGTAATGAGGTAGCGGGTGCTAAGAGGGATTTATTGTGGAGAAGGAATGGGAGGAAATGGAGTTGTATCCGTACTCCGTACACCACCCCTGGACTCTTTCTTTTAGCTTGGTTGCCTCAAGATTCTCTGCCTTCTCATGAATTTGCGTGGGTGCGATGAAGCAGTACACGATTCTATCCTTCTCTGGCCTCGAAAGCTGATTGTGTAACTACTTTTTGCCGGCTGTGTGTCGAGGAGTTGAAGTTTTTCATGTGGCAGGGAAGATGCGATAAGCCCCTCGGGATGGGCCGCGGCCTGTCGATGAACCAGGGGGATACTCGAGCTCGCAAAGCTGCTGCTAAAGGGCCAATTGCGAGATCTCAAGCAGCCGAGAAGACCCTTCCACTGCCGCCAGATGAGGTGGAATCAATGCCCTTCGAGAATCAAGAGGCGGTTCCTGAAGCGGTGGGCAGGACAACGAGTGGTTGAGGTGCGCTGTCGTCGTTGGCCAGCGCGTCTGGGGGTCCAGTGGACGCGGTCTGGACCCGCTTTTAGGAGCAGACGCGTTAAGTGCATCTGTCATTCTCTCATCTCATGGCTTCACTCATTTGCCCTTCTCACCCAATACTATCTATCACTCATTGTACTCGCTCGCTCACTCATTATTGCACTGCTAACTAATCGGAGCATGAATAAATCAGAGTGCGGTTCCTGTAATTCCCGGTCTTACACATCATTTTACGCATCGAATGGTATTCGCCATGCATGGACCCAGCAGATACCACTCGCTCAGCCATCTAAGCTGGAGTAAACTGTTTATTGGAAACTTTGCAAACGTACTTACTTACCTGGTAGTATGAGAAGAGTCTAAAAACACGAATGAGCTCTTCACAAATATTCCCTTTTTTTTTTTCTTTTTTTTTCAACAAAAAAAAACCCCCCCATTCTTGGAATTCTTCGATGACAAGGTAGTTAAGAAGAACGAACGATATCTTCACACATATGCATTCATCACATTGGCCTCGGCCTGCCAGCATTATTCAACAAAATTCAAGTCGCATCCCCGCCCATCTCCATTCCAACCATCAACGCACATCCCAACAGCAGCGGGACAGCAAGGCATCTCGCATCTTCCCTGACTCTGCTATTCACACCTCACACTACACCTCCCGTAACCCCGTCCCCGATTCATCCTACCCTGATTCGAATTTCGTGGGATTATAGAACTCACCCCCCCCCCCCCCCAATACTCAAGATTTGCCATCATCCATCCATAGTCCCTGCTTCCATGATCTTCTCCCCGTAAACATCGGAAATAAGTCGTGAACCCGCAGATGTGACGCGAAGAAGACGCGCGCACGCGGAGAAAAGAGTCTAGGCATCAGAAACCGAGGGAACCATCTACAGAGACGTCATGAAAGGCGTCAGAGGACCCAGAGGGAAGAGATGAAAAGTAATGAAAAGTAAGAAACATGCGAGGGACGAAGCGTCTCCATCTATTCAGCCGCCCCCAATAACTTCGAAGAAGATGGACAGCTTTCTTTTCCTCAACGAATGAAATCCACATCACGACGAGGGAGCAATACAAGCCAAGCAAAGAAGATGGAATAAGAGTTGTACAGTTGTGACTTGCATGTGTACCAAGCCGCCGTGGGTAATGATGAACCGACAAGTCCAACACACGCCCCAGCCTCTTCACGACCATCCATCCGATTCCTTCAAGTTGATAGTGGCGTTCGCCAACCAAAGTTATCACGATCAAAAGAGGCAGAGATACATCCCATGTATCTGTATCTAAATGCGAAGACACCACTCAAAAGTCAAGGACAGGTCTTTCACCTCATCACCTCGTCACCTGACAACCCCCCACCCCATACCCTCCACGACCGGACATCTTCCCCGTCGCTTCGCGTTCGTCCTCGATGCCCAACCAACTCTATTCAAACACCCACGCCGGCGCGGCGGCGGTGAAGAGAAGAACAAGAAGAGCATCCGCGTTTCACCTGTCCCGCCTGCCATCGTGCCCATCATCCTGGGATGGCAGGTGTCGCAATGTGGCCAACGCCGCGTAGGGGAGGACAGCGAGAAGGGGGGGGGGGGGGGCGACAGCAAGCAAAAAGAGAGGAAAAACCAAGAACACGACACCAGAGTGTCATCGAAACCTTGGCCATGAAATCTTGCTTTTCTTTCCCCCCCCTCCCCTCCCCTTCACTCCCGCCCGTCAGTCAGTCAGTGATGCGCCGGCACCTATTTGTGTTGATGACCTTCTCCATCTTCTTTCAGGTTGCTTGCTGAGGTGGGAGGAGCACACTCCCCACCCCATGCTCCTTGTTCCGTGTTTCACCAGCGATTCTTGGGGAACTTTTGAGTCTTGTCAGCAGCGTGGTCGATGTCGACGTGAGGGTTGCGGCCTAAACATGGGATGATGAGCAGAGCAACCGCGCTCTGCTCTACCGTTCGCGCATGCAAAAAGCTTCCGTTCTGACATTTCTGACAACCTGTTCGTTGTGGCCTCTCAACACCATCGATGCGATTTAGGCTACAAGTACATATTGCCACCGACGCGATTCACCTCGGATTCATATGCTTCGCGCAAATCACGTTGAGATCTAGATCGTGGCAGTTGATATATGGCTTGTATTTGAATTTGTTTGGGGGCTAAGTTTGGTTGCCCGGCGAAGTATTTAGAGACTTAGATAGAGAAAATGGGCTGCGTTGCAGCTGTAAGTAGACCGTTTGTCATGTGGGTATATCCATCACCATTCCAAAATGTGGTGTTCCGTCATGAGTGACTCCAATGAATCACCGTTAAAGGAAAAAAAAAAGATGTCGTTTCAGACATCGAAGCTTCTTGCCAAATATGGTAACTGCGAAGCGACATGATGCTCGCTCAATTAAGAGGAACATGAGAGGGGAATGAGGTCGCATCAAGTGCGTCCGCCGAGTCTTCCGTGCCATTGTCAAGAGGGCATCGCGAAGAAAGCTCGAAGAGCAATGGTGGCGGGGAGGATTATTGAGCCATGAATTTCCATTCTGAGTTTGACACGGCTGGCCTCACCCACCACCCTCGTGATGGTGTTAAGCCACATGGGAGTTGAGATATGCTGTCATTCATCGGGACATGAAACAAAAAGTCCCGCGCGATAGCACACCCCGCACTTCTCTCCAGTCCCGCGGGAAGAGCGCGAGGGCTGAAACGAATGTCGTAGTTTAGCGTGTGGCGTGCTCCTGTCATCCGCAGGGTTCGTTGCAAAAGATTTCCTGCAATATTCGTAAAAGTTGGTTGTAAGACAAGGCTCGGCGTTAGAGAAGTCTCCTCGGCCGGCGTAGAATCGTAAATCGTGACTTCAGCCTACGGCGAGACCAATCTCTGATTGCCGTAGGAAAGGGCGAGGGGAGAGGCCGCCCATGTGATATTCCTCATCAAGTGAAAGCCTCGGAGGATTTGAGGGCGATGAGTAAACGCGCTGGTGCCTCCCATCCGAGTGTGCCGAAGAAGGCATCCGCGAGTAAGGGTCCACCGACGGGCGGGGAGACATTTCCGTGTCGGTGTGGTAGCCGTACCAATGCTCGCGTAGACTACCGACACTCGCGCTGCTGCGAGAGCTGCGATGTCTGCCATGACGAGGAGACGGCAACTTGGATAGTCTGGAGTTCTGTCGCTTGGGGGATGGGAGGAAGGCGAGATCACCCTCGACGGCGTCGTCAGTGAGGCCAACGCGTGCGTTCGGGGCTCGTGCGAGAACGGGAGTTTGAGGGATATCGATACTCTTCTTGTCCATGCTCCGCTTGTGATACAGAGAGCGAGGGGCCGTATCCGTAGAAGGACGCGGCTGGTGCTGGTTGTGGTTTTGATAAACAATCACGCTGGCTGGCTTGCGAATAGAACCAGCCGAGTCGTGTTTATCCACAACCACGGTCGTACATTTCTCAATCGTCCGGCAGGCCTTCCAGGATTCAATCTCCTCGTCATCAATCGGGCTGTTGCCCCGGCGGCTAAACGGAAGGCGGCCACGGCGGTAACGGTAGCAGACAAAGATGGCCCCGATGATAATGATCACTCCAAGCACAGAGAGTACAGTGCTCAGAGCAACAACAAGGCCACGATTGCCCTCAATACCCTGCGATTTGTTTCCGCTCATGGCGCCGTGCTGGTCAGTCAAAGAAGTTGAGCTTGGTGCAGCTGGCGCCGGGAGGTTTGGGGTCCTGCTGCCAGCATCAGTCGGCTGAGCAGGTGGCGGCAATGTGGTCAGTGGAACTGATGTCGGCGGCGGAGGTACAACGATAACAGATGTCGTTGAGCTTGACTGAGGAAGCTTTGGAGTTGAGCTTGGTCGTGGAAACGGTTGGGGAAAGTTTGGTGGGGGTGCACTCGGCTGGGAAAAGACCGGTGGAGGAAACGAGCGAACTGGAGTTGGTGAAGACGAGACTGATGGCACCGGAGGTCTTGAAGTTGAGACTACGGGGCTAGAACGTGGTGTTGTCGTTGACCTTCGACTTTCAACCGAGGCGGTAGGCGCCGGCGGAGGCGGAGGCGGCGGTGCGGTGGTCTCCGGGGGTGGAGGCGGAGGCGGAGGAGCAGGCGCTTCTGGGGGAGGCGGCGGCGGTGGTTCCTCTGGTGGGGGAGGTGGTGGAGGAGGCTCCTGATTTGGAGGGTTTTCGGGGACCTGAGGGTTTTCCGAAGGAGGAGGCGGCGGTTCCTCGTTATGGGGAGGTGCTGTGAAGATGTGTTAGCTCTTTATCCATCTTATATGTACTTCAAGTGAGAGCAAAACGGAGAGAAAATGTCCGGAGGTGTCCATAGAGTCAGTCAGGTGAGGTAAGGCGGGGCTCGGATGAGATTATCGTTGTGATAAAAACGGCAGATGGGTGAAGGCATCGCAGACTGAGTGTTCAGTGCTAGGGTTGAGCCAGGTCACACCTCCATTGTTGGGATTGTTTGGATCCCCATTGTTCGTCCCAGGCCCGAGGACAGGCGCAGCATCGGTGCCGGTTGTGGGTAGGGCATCGAGTCCGGGCGTCGTGACGGGAACGTTCGGTACGCCTTCTTTGCCTTTTCCCTTTCCTTTGCCCTTACCCTTGCCCTTGCCTTGTCTTTCCTCTTCAGTTTCGAAATCGGTAAGGTCGTCTCTTGGATCCAAGGCTCTTGTAGGCAAGGAGAGGCTCGAAAGCCAAACCACCGCTGAGAGTAATTTCGTCGTCGACATCGTCCAGTAGGTATTATATGCCGTTTCGGCGTGAATGGGCCAGCCCGATATAATATATGGAACAACCCAGTGTTCGTATTACAAGCCAGTGTTCAAATGTTGCCCAGCGCCATGGACAACTTGCACCACTGGGCTTTTGGGTTCTTCCGTGATAGGAACAAACCGACAAATAGACATTCAAGGGAAATAAGAGATTATAGGAAAGGGTGACAAACAGTTTGGGTGATTGATCTCGGCACCAGGTCAGGGTGACGGACAGGCCAGAGATCAGGTTCCACGACTCCAAGATTGACGTTGGGAGCCGGTTGATGCTGGAGACCTTCAAGAACGGGAAAGGGAAGGGTTGGAGACGAGGAAGAGAGGCTCGCGGAGATCGAATACAGCAGATAGTGGACGGCTGTCCTGGGGTTATGTATATAGCTGCCATGTAGGTGTGGGAAACGTAGCAGAGAGCACCTGGTTCCTTGGATGCGGCACTTGCGGCAGCACTGACATGGGAACGATGTAAAGATTGACGGGCGGTGGCACCTTGGGCCACCTTTGCAGCCACGCACACACGATGTGCGGATACACCACGCACTTAGACATGTACACACAACTTGGTGCATACTACGTACGGCGAGGAAGAGTGTGCTTGGAGAGAGAGACAGGGTAGGGATAAGCTGTACAACCGTGCACCCGCTTGGGAACGACGGCATGTGAATAATCCCGCAGGAATATTATGGGGCCTTTCCGGGGGTGTGGCCATGATCCGTGATGCAGGACAGGAAGTCGAGATCCTTTAGTGTGGTGTGCGCGTGTGTAGGAGGAGGGGGGAGGCGAGAAGCTGAGAGCGAGTAAGTGTGTGTGTGCGTGAGAATGTGTGAGAGAAGAGCCAAAGAGAATGGTGGTGGTCAGTTGCGGGTTCCTGTGCCTAGTGTGGTGGTGTCTGTGGTCAAGAGAAATCGTCCGTGACGAGTGGGAAGAAACGAACGAACCGAGCTGCACACAACGCATCAGGTTCAAGACAGTGGAGAGGTGGATCTGGGTGGAGCGTTCGGAGGTTGAGTTGTGTGTCGGGGTCCATGAACAAGGGGGGGAGGGGTGAAAACAAGAAGAAGACAAGAAGACGAGACGAGGGCGGGCGAAGGCTTGGCTTCTGAGCGGAAGAATATGAGGGGAGTTGAGAGTTGAGACTGAGAGAGAGAGAGAGAGAGAGAGAGAGAGAGAGAGAGAGAGAGAGAGAGAGAGGTGAGTGGGTGAGAGGCCACGAGAGGGAAGAGACTCAGGAACAGGAACAGGAACAGGGGGGTGAACAGACGAGAGAAAAAGAGGGGTGTGTGAGTGAGTGCAGGTGTGTGTGTGTGTGTGTGTCTGTGTCTAGTGTGCATGGCGTCCTGCGGTACCTGAGCGTCTGCGGGTAGCCATTGGAGGACGTTGTGATGTTTCTAAATTTTGACTTGGCTGGATGGGACTGGCTAGCCTGGCATAAGCGGTATGCTGCTGTTGGCGTCGGTGCTGAGGCTTGGTTCTTGGTGCTTGGAGCTGATATCGGTGTACCGGCATTGACTGCGGTGCTGGCGTTGGTGTTGGATCAGATAGAAGGACAGGTGAGCGACGTGGAAGACCTGAGAGGATCATGGCGGCATCGGGAGAAGGCTGGGAATAGCAACGTGGAAGGACAGACTTGGACCTTCTTCCCCTCTAGTCGCTCAGGTCAGGCACAGAAGCTTACCTTACGTCAGGTAAAGTCCGGTCAGGTACGGCACACACACACACACACACACACACACTTTCTGTCCCTCTCACACACAATCTGTGGAGTGTACACTGACTACTCCATACAAGCAGAAGACAAGGTCCAGGGACTGTATCGTCCACCAGGGCAGTTTGTGTCTGTTGTTTCTTGATCTATCCGTCTGCAATCGATTGGTTGCACTAGGGCCTTCGGGATGCCGATGACGAGAACGAGGTGGGATGGCAGAAGGAAAAGAATAGATAGAGTCTTGGTTCGAAACAAACGCCCGAGGATGAGTTAAACTGACAACCCATCAAGGATCATCAACATTGAAATCCAACGACACGAGTGAGTCTACGGATGCAGCGCCGCTGTCACCATCGCCGGATCGCAACGTGTGGACTGTGGAGGCAGTCGGAGTCGGAACCGGGACAGACAGAATCGGAGAGAGAGAAAGACAGGGCTTGTTTTGTCGGGTCGACCCGGTCGACCAAGACACCGACCGATCCTCTCGGAGCTTTTTCTTTCCTCGTACACTTACAGGCACCCGGGCAGCCTAAACAGCCTCATCTTAATTGCTCTGACCAGTTGTCTGTTTCGACGTCCAGTCAGCATGGGTAGACACTGAGCAGGCTTGATGTGATGCTGCCCAAGCTGGGTTCCCAGAGAGCGGTTTGTATGGCCGGGATGGTGCCATGTGGTTCTGCGCTGATTTCTGACCAAAGGTTCGTGGCCGTCTATGGAGGGGGCTCTTCCCAGGACCCAGCCATGCGCATGGGTTAGTGGAGGAGGACCCAGGAACACACCGGGGCTTAAGGAATGGTGTTTGGAACGAAACGGCGAATGAGCGTCAGGAAGCCGTCTTCCTCCAGGCTGAGCTAAAGCAGAGCCACGATAAGCAGAGGTAGGCTGGCTTAACGGCTAGGTTACTGCAAGGTAAGTTTGGAAGGGTTGGTTTGTAAGTGACGGACAGCATGATCATCTTTTCCCCCCTCTTCCTCCACCTCCACAACCTCCACAGAGGAAACATTTGAGGATAGACGACTGCCTAGTCGGCAAGCTGCAGGTGGGCTATTGGAAAGGAACGAAGGAAAAGAAACCATGACGGGTGTGGGATTAGGTGCCCTGGCTGCTGTGCACCGTGATGTTGCTGGGATCGTAATGGGCATCGGGATTGAGTGAGACCATCCTCTGTGCCTCTGTCCCTGTAGCTGCCCCATTCCATCGAGGTGCAGCACGGAAAAAGGTCAGACCCCGGCAGCAACGTGAAAAGATAGATCTCATGCAGATTCCATTACGCAGGCACCTGGGCTAGGACGGGGGAGGGGCACTCTGGGAGAGAGGCTGGAGGGAAGGGGGAGAGGAGGGGAAAGAGGAGAAGCAGGGCGTGCAAAAATGCAAAATGCAACATACAACGACCGTACAGCACAGCACAGCACGCATCCCGCAGCAAAGCTACCACATCGACGTCCAGGCGTTCCATCTCGAGTCTTGTTGGATCCCATCCTGCTGCGGGTGTTGCTCGGTCCGGAGATGGGAGGACTCGAATGCTTCTAATTTGGGCGTTTGGTAGCACTTTTGAAACTCAAATGTGCAGACACAACCCATCTCTTTTACCTGGCCAAGTTTTGACGGCGGAAACAAACGGCACATACCTATCCAGCCCAAGCCGGAAAACCGAGTTCTTTGCAACATTGAATCTTTGGAACAGAGTCATGATCGGTTCCATCGTGAAGCCAAGGAACCTTACCACACAAACTTAGCCACGACTGCTACCTACCACAAGCAAGGTACCTGGATATTCGCGAATCGTAGATACTACGAATACACGTGTACGAAGTACCTTAGGTGCCGAGGACAGAGGACACGGACGCGGCGGTTGCAGAGCACTAGAACAAGTCTCATTTAATCACAAACGGAAAGAAAAAAAGAAACGAAGAAGGCGGGACGCCCTTGCCGACTGTTGGTACAAGTGCCAGGTCCACCGCGTCTAAAACAATCCAGGTCATAAGGTAGTGTAAGAAGGATATGTGGGTAGGCAAGGTCAGGTAAGGTAAGGTAAGAAAAAGGTAGGGTTAGGTATGTAAAGTGAACCGTAAAGATGAGGTTAACCAGCCCGGTGAGGTGAGGAGACGGGAAGGAGAAGAGAAGGAAGGGGAGCGTTGAGCAAGGATACGTCCCGTCTCTTAGTCATAGGTACGTACTCTGAGATGCCCCACTCCCCTCCGTCTGAGGTGGACATCCTCTACAGTACGTGCCTCAAGGTACACAGTTAGGTAAGGTAATTATCCTTTCTCCTCATCTCATCCCGTCTTCCTCCGCTGCCAACCACCCTCGAATACAACGCCGAATATCCTCACCTCAAGCCATCCAATCCATCAAGCATCAATCAACTCACACATCAACACCTGCTCACGTGTCGCAGTTACCGTTCCAAGTCCACCACAGACCTCATCCTCGACCTTTCAGCATCCCATCACCCGTCATCACTGACTGTATGTATTTTCGGACACCTAACGTCCGGTCCGGTACGGTACGACGAGGGACGGCCGTGCCAAAACCTGCCAACACGCACCTGTGGCACGCTACCTCAGGAAGGTCGTGGTGCTGCGCATGTCCTTGAGTTACTGCGTAGAGCCAGACCACTTCAAAGTACAGACCAATTCGTCCTAGCCATCTACCGCCCGCTAAGGTATTGGGAGGGGGAAGGTGAAGCTCGGTGGACAAGCCAGATGCCACTCGGCGCACAGTTCCCGACTGCGACTGCAACCCGACTATACATGCCCTCGAGAGCAAGTGCAAGTGCAAATGCAAGTCCAACCGCCTTGGCCTCTGCAACGCTCCCTCCAGCGCTGTCTACGAAGTACACCATTCCTACATTGGCACTCAGCTCTCAACGTCGGATACGGATGGAACTGTGATGGCATCTCAGAGCTCAATCCACGGATCCCCTCTGCGGCCCTTCACTCGCTTCCATGCAAGCAATTTGTCCATCGCCTGGGGGGCCTTGTCAAAATCCCCGCATCCTTGCAGCGCGTAGGCCTTACCACTGGTCACGCCTGTCGCAGGCTCGCAGCCAACTGATGAGACACAACATCAATGACAGCTCGTGCCGTACGGAGTACTGCTTTGCCCGCAATAGGCTCCGCGCAGCCACCCAGCCATCTCACCGGCTCCATCTGCTATCTTGAGAATCTCTGGCTGCACATGCCCTGCGCTTGTCCTGCAATGCACTGGACTGGCATGCATGGCTCTGCCCGTGGTCTGCGATGGCCCATTTCTC